TTAACTGCGTTCCCGATCCCCCCTAAGGCGACTGAAATTTACCCTAAAGACAACCTGTGTGGTCTGAACATATACATTTCTGTCTCATTTAATACTATTTATCACATTGTTTCTACTTTAAATTGAAGTTCTTATTGAGATACCATAAATGACAAGTTTTACCGGCCCATAATTTATATATTAATGGACAATTTTTATTAGCGTTATACGATAGTTCTCGATATTCTCTCGGCTTACCTACAAGAGCATCTCGCTATTTTTAGAACGCAAATTACGCCTCAGATTGGAATGAGCATCTTCATGTCGACTGGATGATAATAGTAAATGTTCAGAGATAAATGTGACGACAGCTTTGTCCATTTTAACTTATTACGATACGTTATAGCTAAAAGTTATGGAGAAGACGTTTTTATTTCAATGTACTGGGTGTCGTCGAAAGTGAGGATTTTTTATTGGTAGATGTTTATTTATTGGGAAATGAGACGGGACGGGATCAAGTTTATCAAAAAAACTATTTAAACTTCGCCTGGGAGAGCGCCTATTTCTGTGACACCCGGTATAAATAAATTTAGAAATAACCAAACTTACCTACCTTAGTCCAAATGTTGATACTTAAAGAGATACAAGGCATCAAAGGGAAAAATTTGTTTTCATTATTTTTAAATAAAAAATTACTTTTTAAAAAAATTATATACAGGGTGTTTAAGTACTTGTACAAACAATGGGTGAATCTTTGACTAATTTTAAGATAAAAAGTTCATATGAATTTGGGTTTGCAACGGCTTGGTTCTTGATATACAGAGCGTCCAAAAATTTTTTTTTGTTTCTGCAATTATTGTAAATGTTATTAACTTATTTGTAGAATTAGTTTAGTCTTAGTCTTGTAAATGATCTAAGTTTGTAACGTCGCAATATAATCAATAAGAGACTCATTTTTTCACTTGTTTTTCAAAAACTCTTACAAAATTTCAACGCAGACTTAACTTTCCCGTTTCTTTACAAAACTGCTGCTTTCAGCGACAAATACTGATAGCCCAACCAATAGAGCGAAAGAAGAGGCTGTTTTTGCACTTAAATATTACAGCAAATTTCATGTATTTCCTTTTGAAAAATACTTAATAAATGAAAACGCAGCAAAGTCGTGAACAATTTTTTTAAACAATAAAAACTTGTTTTTTATAATATCTCGAAAAATAATTATGGAATCGTCTTACTCTCAATAGAACTTCTGTAGAGAATAAAAAAACCTATAAAATGGTTTTTTGTGCGACCCGATTGGTTTATTTTTTACAGAGAAAATCCAGAAAAACCTCTAAAATAGACCTTTTTTTCAAAAATTCATAACTCCGTTAAATTTGAAGCTGGAAAAACAATCCTGCGGAAAGTGGCAGATAATAATATGTAGTTTAATCGTGCGCAAGATGGTTTCTCTCCGATGCATAGGTTTTGCACAATTGCATTATAAACAAATTAGGGTCGATTTATTAAAAATGGTACTATTTAAATTTTGAAACGATCGATAGATTGTTTTTCCAACTTCAAATTTGACAATTATGAATTTTTGAAAAAGGTCTATTTTAGATGTTTTTCCGGATTTTCTCTGTAAAAAATGAACCGATCGAGTCGCACAAGAAACCATTTTATAGATTCTTTTATTTTCTACAAAAGTCCTATTGAGAGTAAGACGATTCCATCATTATTTTTCGAGATGTTATAAAAAAACAAAAAATTTAATTTCTTGCAATTATTTTCTTTAAATTGTTCACGACTTTGCTGGGGTTTTCATTTACTAAGTATTTTTCAAAAGGTAATGCATGTAATTTTTTGAGCCAAAGAATTCAAATCCAAAACATAATTTTGCTGTTACTTATTAGAGATCGCCATTTGCGGCAATTTGCATATTTTTAAATTGTCATAACTGTTTTGCTTTTCAGTCTGCCTTTTATTTTTTTCCATTTTCCTATTTACGTGAAAAGACATACCTGGCAAGTATACCTACGAGTAATCATTTTCGAAATATTCACGTTTAAAGTTTCGAAATAAATGGAGATCGATAATTGTTTTATTTATTGTTGATTATTTGTTTGTTCTTTATTTTGTTGTATCTTATTGTTTTTTATTTAAAAGTATATATTTTTTCTTTCACGCCAACATTTTAATTTAATAGTTCCAAAAAATCTAAAAAAAATATATGCTCTTCCCTTCACTAACAATTAAGTATTATTATTTTTACGGGTACTCAGTTCGGAAACAGTTTTCAAGGTTTGTCGAAGCCTACCTCGGAAAAGTATGTCTAGTTTTTATGTAGAGTATATAAAAATAAAAAAGAATAATAATAAAAGGAGCTGATATACCGAGGAACAAAATATGTTTGACATTTTAAAAATAAGTAACAGCAAAATTATGATTGGATTTGAATTCGTCGTCTCCGAAATTTTTGCAAAATCAATGATTTAAAAAAATTAATAAAAACAATTTTTCAATTTGACACCCTGTACCTTTTTAAAAAGCATCAACTTTTGGACTAAGGTAAATTTAGTTAAATCGTAATATTTCAATGTGTAAAATCAGCTGTTCTGTGCTCCATGTACCATTACTATGGGACACCCTGTAGACAACCATAGCAATTTTTTTTGTTTTTTGCATCACTGAGTGCTATTTGTAATCGTAGTTCATCTGTTGGGATTTATCCCGGATAGGAAAAGCCACTTTTAAATTTCAGAACATTTCCCAGCGAAGCTTCTGCGGTAACCAAGAAACTGCAAATTATTCATTGTATTTAATTAGTAAAATAATAAATTCGTAACGAGTAATAAAAATGAATAAGAGCTGATTTATAATGTTCATATAATTCTTCTTTATTTTCATACAAAGTTATGGCCCATATTTCTTGGCTGCCAAATAAATTACATACAGCGGGTATTCAGCGCAACTCTATTAAAGTTAGTTCCATAGGTCACCGCTGCGGCGCCGTTGCAGATCCTGGATCTGGGATATTTCTTTTCCACTCGCTCTCTAATGGAATGGAAAACATTAAATACTTACATAAACGACCCCTGATAATTAAGTTATTTTTATGGGCTTTTTTTATGAGAACTGGGCGGGGAAGAGACAGAAATAATTATTAGACGTCCTTAAATGTTCTAATCTTTAATTAACACGCTACAATTTTATTTCGCTTTCTCGCAGCTCGCTTGAAAATGTCTGTTGGACAACAAACTTTCATTTAGCGTTGTTAGATGATGAATTAAGATTATTTGGTCTGTACAGGGAGATGCATAGAAGTTTGTTTAAATCATACTAGTATACAGTGTGGACCATTTTGGTGATGCATGTATTGGTATCTTGATCTCGGAAACTATAAGAGATAGGAAAATGGTTAAATGGAGAAAGTTTTAGACAGTTCTGTTGCTAACTCAATGGCGCTTGCAGACCGCTCCTAGCTCTTCAGGTTCTTGAGTTATTTTGAAAAATATTAAATATGGCTTTTTCGAAAATCGTTTCTTTTTATTCCTTTTTTTCACAAAAACATTATTAGTTACATACGCTACATAGTAAATTGTAACATCTGAGATTCAGGCTAGTTTAAACTAACCTAATATCTTTAAAGTAACATAAAAGTACAAATGCTAATAGTTTAAAAACCAGAATTTCCATCTTGTCCAAACATAACAGGAATGGAAAATGACGTAAGGCAAGTATTAGTATTCCGCCGAGCTTGGCATCGAATTTGAAAACAGCAAATATGTTATTAAAAAGAAATAAAATTGTCTCGTACAATCCCGCGTGAGAAAAAGCCAACGCCGTACACAAAAACAAGTTTATTGGTATGCCATGCAGTTCCTTTGAAAATCCCAAGAGTACGACCATTTAAAAGACATGCGTTTATAAACGTCTCCCATTATTTCTGTTTATGACTCAGTCTAGGACTTAAATTTTAATTAGTGCATAATTAACAGGCAAGTTTATCATATAAATTGGACACTTCAAAGGACGTATTAATTGATAAGTGAAAAGAGGCTCGCGTAATTAGAATACCGGGGAGCGAGGCAAAAGGAAATCTGCTCGAACGAGAGGAAAAACCACATGCAGGAGCTGCGGGCGCGCAGATAAAGTGGTTACGACTTAATAAATTAAATTTCGTGATGAGAAGTTAATATTTCTGCTGCATTCTTCCTGTTTTATTGGTCGCTGTTGAAGATAAGATGGCGGGCTTGTTTAATTCAAGGTAAAGCATATGGTCTACCGGAAAATGAGAACGCTTTGCCGATATAAAGAGTGATAGTGTCGTAAAATTTAAGTGGCCTAAGTGAGGGTCCATTGAAGTCGGGTTCATTGATTTTCTTGTTTTATTTTTTTATTACTTCCTGTTGCGGTAGCCTCTCCAAAAGGGCCCAGACAAAGAAAAGTGGCATTTATCTCAAATAAAGAAGATAAGTTAAAAGAAAAAAAAGCTATAATGCTATTATAATAAATAAACAATTAGTAGTTTGTACAACAAGGGCATATGATGTCCATATTGCACGAGAAGTGCTCAATCGTTATTATAACTATTATTAACAGTGGTTGGTACCAAAAATGTTAAATGTTTATGAATGAACAGGTTTAAAAAATATGTTTAATACATAAAAGTTATTGTGTGTGGTGTGTTAAATGCTTGGTTAAAATTATTTCTTGAAGACTCGGTATTATGTGAGATATATTTTCCCTGCGTTGAATCCAATCCGTGTCCTCTTTAACAATTCCCTCTCCAAATCCTAAATGATTGTTCCTCTAGAAAACAACTCTTCCAAGACTGTTGCAAATCAAACAAAATTCATAGTAAAACTCAGTTTAATTTCTTCTACACTTTTCTCCCGGTAACTTTGTTTCTGTAAATCCGGAATGAATTGAGGAAACACAAACTAGTCCCGAAGTTTTATTTAGTTTTAAACTTGCTCTTCCATTTGCTAGATCGCGTTAGGGTAAACTTTTTAATTAGTTTCGCATCGTTGTTGCAGACATTTCATACGCCAAGTTTCGGGGACGAAGAGTTCGACATTCCCGCCATTAACCCCCAACAGCAGCAGCAACAGCAACAAGGCCATTCGGATCAGCAGCACTACCAGCCGCCGATGCAGGTGAGAGGGAAAAGCTTGCTTTTAAAATTTCTCTTAAAATAGGAAAAATGCGTTTTAATAACACAGCACCCAAAAAAAAAATAATTTCGGCCGAGGACCAGACCAGTGTATCGCATAGTATCTTGACTCGTCGAATTCGAATCTATAAATGGAATTCCCGGATCAGTTCGTGTCTTGACTCTCTAGAAAGCACTTTTCGAGTAGTCAGTGATTGGAAAAACATTCAAATTTTAGTTCTCATTGCACCATAACCCTATGACTCCGGAGCCATATAACCCCATAACCCTATAACCATAACCCTATGACTTCATAACCCTATGACCCCATAACCCTATGACCCCATAACCCTATGACCCCATAACTATAACCCCATAACCCTATGACCCCATAACTTTATGGACCTAACCCTGTGGCCCCATAACCATTTGACCCCTTAAAACCCTGTGACCCCATAACTACAACCTGTTATTTGAACGATTTTTATCGAAAAACACTCACGATCATTGATTATACGGTTAGGATAGTACTATTACATATTTTCATACAATGAGAAAAAACCTCAGGTGACTTTGTAGCACATATCTGTATGTCCCAGATCATAGGTCTATAGAAGCTTGCATGCCCTGGGTTAAGGAATTACGAAGATACAACAGAACTACAAACTCAATTCCACAGATATTCGTGGTTATACATCCTTGCGCACCTGGGGCTATCGGATTACGGGGTTATTGGGTTATGGGGTTAGGGAAACCGGCCAACTGACTCATGTAGTTTCGAACCGCTGATGTATGATGTTCCCACAAAGTCTCAACGCACATCTCAGGTTATGAGGTTATGGGCACGTGAATCTACGGGAGTTATCGGGTTATAGTGCAATATGTTCATGAATTTGAATGTTCTTCCAATCACTGACTACTCAAGTCAATTTGAAATGTCGAAAACTTTTTATTCGGGTTATTTTATTTCCAATATGATAAGGACGATTAGTTAATATATTGAAGATAATTATAACTATCCAAGCCAACACAAAAAGTATTTTATTTTTTTTTAAAGAAATGGCCATATCCGCTTAAATGGATATGTTTATACATATAACTGCTGGTGATGTTTTGTTTCCATAAAAACATCATGAATCGTTTAAATTTCTGTTGGAACTTGTGATATTAAGCTCAAATAACCTTTATGTGCTCTCAAACGATTGACATGAATATTAAAATAGTTGGAAAGGCCATGATGTAGTCGAGATGAATCGTAATTGGCATATTAATAATTTACTCACTTGAGTACTTGGCAGACATTAGCCGATTACCTAATTGATTAATTAAAAATTCCATTTAGAGGAGTCCTATTTGCGTATAAAGTATATATTACGCACATATTACTGTAGTGTAACTAAAAGTGTGAGATTTGAACAGAAGCCCTTAGCAAGACTTAACAGAACCTGTAACTATTATTAGTAGACAACTAGCTTGGTTTAATGGGTACAGAATGCTGGACAAAAATGTGAGTTTTCGAAAAAAAATGTTAGTCAAAAGTTATTGCTTTTAATATCTTACAAATGTCGGTACTTATTTCTATGATACCCCCTATAGGAAGGTGCATATAGTTGGACATGTTACTTAAGAAACTATTAGTAATTAAAAAAAAACATTTTCTGGAAAAAATATGGCATTGTACTTATTACTAGTGGCTAGAAAATTTTATGCGCAATAATGAAAATATTTAATATCTAAAAATTTAATTTCACCGAAATTTGTACATTTCTTCTTCTTTTATAAGAAAAAAATACTACATTAGCGAAGAATAAAATATAGATAACGTTTCTCCTTGTTCCAGGGGATGCAGCAGATGAACCAACAAATGAACCAACAGCAGGACGCCATGGGCATGCACGACCCAACCGGGGGGTACCAACAGCCCCTGTATCTCTCCGGACCCGACCATGGGATGGTAAACTCTTCCTACCACAGTCCCCAACCTAGCTACACCATGAGTCCCAGCCAGCAGCAACACAACAACCAACTGTTGATGATCCAGCAGCAGCAACATCAGCAGCACCAGCAGATGATGATGAGTCATGGCCAGCCTCCCCCCGGGGCTATGGGGCAGTACGGGACGTCGCCCCAGCATCCACAGGGGAGGGGAAACAGCCCCCCCGCGCCTGGTCAGGAGCCCACCACCAGCGAGGATAGTGATGATAGCACTCCACATCCTGCCATGGTAAGTTATTTTTTAATAGTGGAAGTATTATAAAGCGCAGGTATATGGTTATTTTGGATGGTCCATTAGAAATTCTATACTGCTGTCATAGACCGGAAAAGTTAAGAAATATATTTTTCTAAAGAAAGATTACTGCTTTATTATGACCACTTAACAAAAGTCGAATGTAATTGTGTTTTTGTTTTTGGAATAATCTTCAGGGAAAATCATAAACTGACTCACCCGGTACGTTACGAGAATTATTTATTACATCGTAACAATAAACAGCAACTAGCTCGACAGACGTGCTAAATAATGTTTATTAAGCAATTTATTGTTATTAACATCTTTTGTCACTTTAAACTGCTAAACGGTTGTTTCAATATGGCACATAAAATACAATACATTGCCTTTCCCTTAACCGATATGAATATTTATCGTTGAGGCAGCAGAACGCTCGGTATACAATGTTATAGAATGCTATAAACTCCATTTAAATGTTAAAAACGTTAGAAAAGTTAGACAGCAATGTGCCATGCCTTCATAATCAGAACCGGCTTTGTGAGACACGTTTGTACTTAAGGTTTTTTTATAGACTTTTATGTAATGTACATATTGTCTCCCTTTTTTTGACTCAAATATTAATGGCTTGTCATTAGTTGTATTATCGGAAAAAAATAATGTAAAAGCCGTCCCTGTAAATGAGGATTTTGATCCGACCCCAACGCATTACTGACTGAAAAACAACATGTTCGTTAATATGTTTTTTATGTAGGTCCCTTTATTAAAAATAATGATTCAACCGAATGCTTGTCTGTTTTGGGGTCACGACCATCGACATTTATAAGTAGTTTCGGAGTACAGTCATACCAGATGAAAGTTTTACATCATCATCTTTATACATTGTCTAGAAGAATTTTTATTAGCTGCTTTTTTAACTTTTATTGCTTCGTTAAATTCATAGAAAATTACTTAACTATGTTTACCTAAAACAACAAATAATTTAGTGAGCAGAGACGTTTATTACAGGTCAAAGGAAATACTAATGAAATAAAATATTTAAATTGGCTAATTAATATACAATTCATTCGTCTTTTTGGCCTAGAATCGACTAAAGTGTGTTGAAAATCCTTATTTGAAAACTAACTGGATATTTAAAGAAAAATCTAAACTATTTGGGTGTGTATTTTTCCTGTTTACAAAAACTTTATTTTAATTTCTCGATAGCTCTACTTCTATCGAAATAAATGAAATAGACCCCCGAGCTTGGAAATCGATATTAAGAAAACGTAAATGCGAAAAAATTTCAAATTTGGACCATATATAGCCTCACTATTATTCTATTGTGTGCTATAATTTCAGTTAGTTTCGTTATCCCATTTTTTCATTATTAATGAAAATGTTGAAAAAATCACGGTTTTCTGGCTACAATATTGATACCTCTCACTTTAACTCGTCGTATTTTTTTTGTTAATTGATAAAAAAATTACAAATTTTTACTGACGATAAGTCGAATTGTCTGTACTGTGAAGTCATTTGTCTTAAAAGCTCTTCTTTTTTTATATATTTAAGCAACGCAGTTCTTTAAGAAAATAAAAAAAACTGACAGTAAATAACTGTAAACAACAATCTGAAAAAATTTGTTAAAATAATGCAGTTATAAGGCTGTACTATTTTATACAGGGTGACCAAATGACAATGAAACAGTGCCATATTCAGGAACTGCGTCAATATTGTAGAAAAACGCTGAAACCCGTCGATTTTAGATAAAAGGGGGACATTCTTTGCTGATATTTTTGACTCCGCCACTTTCACCCCCAAGCAAGGGTGAGCATCACCCCAAAATATTTAGATGGCATTGGGGGTTGAATAATATTTCTTTTGAAAGCTCTTACAATTCTCTTTACAGACTTTAAATTTTATAATACCGTCCAATACTTATTAAGAATTTTTATTTTAAAGTTGAAACTTATGTACAAACAATTAGTAACGGTAAAAATATCAGTCATTCGAGTTAAGTACGCCAATGGTATAAATTTAGTATTTCTTGCGTTACATTGGTTTTTGACGATTTTTTATCACTTTCGTAAAAAAAAACAATTGTAAAAAACAGAAATGAATACTATACACACACAATGAACGTACAATTAGTGGATTCCAAATTATTTTCTGGTATTATTTGGAAGCGTTGGTCGGTAGTTTATTTAATTGTATTTTTGAAAATTAAACACTATGGTTTATTCCATTGCGGTAGATATCATTTCGCTTTAGTTTATGAAAAATAAATGTGCGAATAGAATAGCTCAGCTATTTAATGATCAACATCAAGATCGACATGTCAGGAAGAAGTATGTTCTAGAGTTAGTAAAAAAATTTCAAGAGGCAGGGAACGTAGCCAATAAAAAACGAGAAATCTACAGTTAATGAAGCTAGTGAAGTTGCAATTTTGGGTCAAGTTCATCTTGATGCTACATTAACTACGAGGCAGCTGGCATCTGTGTCTGGGATCAATCGAACTAGCATACAAACCATTTTGAAGAAGAATAAATTCCATCCATACCAAATACATTTAGTCCAGAAACTTCATGAGGATGATTATGACAGCCGTTTGCAATTTGCGAAATAATGAGTGAGCCAGCAGGGAACGATCCACAGTTCCTTTTTAACATCTGTTTTTTGATGAGTGCAGTTTTTTCTTGAACGGGACGGTAAATCGTCACAATTGCCGCTATTGGTTCCATTTAAACCCAAGAGTTTTTCACGAGGTGCATACACAGCAACCGGAAAAATTAAATGTATGGGCTGAAATTTTCGGTGACCGGCTGGTGGGTCCTTTTTTTCTACCTGGTACAAATGACTGGCCAAATGTATTTGCATTTACTGGAAGACGCTATTGACCCTGCCTTGACTGATATTATTGAAACTGTTCCAGAGTATGATGAAGATCATTTGATTTTTCAACAGGACGGTGCTCCTCCGCATTATGCGTTAATTGTCTGTCAGTATTTGGACCAACGTTTCCTACGGATTTGGATTGGGATAAGAGGCAGCATTGAGTGGCCTCCACGATCACCGGATTTATCGCCCCTTGATTTCTTTTTGTGGGGATATCTAAAAAGTAAAATCTATAGAACACAGCCAGCGTCGCTGGAAGATTTACGTCAAAGAATCGTTGACGAATGCTGTCGAATCACTCCGGAAATGCTTCGGAATGTGCTCGAACGTTTCGAATAAAATTTTAATTCTTTAATGCTTGGGGGTGAAAGTTGCGGAGTCAAAAATACCCGCAAAAAATGTCCCCCTTTAATCTAAAATTGACGTGTCTTAGCGTTTTTCTACAATCTTGACGCAGTTTCTGAAAATGGCTCTGTTTCGTTTTCATTTGGCCACCCTGTATACCTTGCATTTATCAGTTATCGTTATCGTAAACGTTTTATTATTTCTGAATTCAATTAAACTTAGCCTTTTCATTGTAGACGCGATACATTTGATATAATTTCCTAAGTAGAATTCATGAAATACAGTTCAGTGCAGATTCCCTGCTAGTTTTATGACCTGATGCCAATTCTTAAATCTATAAGTGTACTTTACGCTTAGTTTTTATTGAACTTTTATTTAACTTTTATGAAATATGAAAGAATACAATGAAATTAGGCATATCTTTGCTACGTTTCTAGTTGATTTTGATAATATATTGAGCTATTACTTTAACACATCCAAACACCTCATTTTCCGGACACCCTGTACAGTATCGTGTCCTATACGTTTCAATTTGTATTCCTTATTCCCATTTGTTTTTTTTTTATTTGGAATTGATTAAGAGAACTCAATACCGGTATTATAAATATCACATCATAGCAGCCAATTGGCGTAGGGGATTCACTTGTTTCAATTGTGCATCGTCATAAATTCAACCGCGCCCAAGATAATTATTTTTAGTCTGCTAATTGCAAGAAATAGGCGGCCTTGTCAGCGCACAGTGGACGGCCGTTTGTTTCCTAAACAAAATAAAGAAGGAGGCCGGGCAAACAGAAAAGAAGAACCGCGCCCGATTTTGTAAATAATTCCAAATTAAAGTGTTTCTCGTGTCACTTTAAGGGGATCCATGTCTTTTTGTTTACAGATAACGGCGATGAAGCGGCCGTCCCCCGAACCGGCCGATCAGGCATTAACGAAGACACAAAAGAAACCGAAAGTACAAAAGAAGAAAAAGAAGAGGGACCCTAATGAACCGCAAAAGTGAGTAACTGTTTTATTGTGTTTTTCGGTTGTTCTGTATTTAATTTTTATTTATTGTGTTTGAGTCCGGAGCCTCGGTTTACCTCCAAATAATTGAACGGTTTTTTCTGGATCTGTTTCATATTTTATTCGTTAATCATATTGGAATTGTTGGCGATGGTGAATTATATACTGCTTTCATTAATATAGCTGCAAATATTAAAAATAGGGTGGAAGAGGGTATTTTCACGTTACCACCTTGTATACAGAGAGACATGCATCATAAATTTTCAAATTCCGTCGTGAACTGATTCTTTTTAACCGATTTTTAATAATTTTCATACCCCGCCGCTGAACAAGCTAATGTGACCGCGACCAGTCGGCAATAATACCTTTCTTATGATTTATAATAAGAATGCACAGTTTTTGAAACTAGAACATCCTGAAACATATACAGGCCATTCGTTCCGAAGAACATCGGCAACGTTACTGGCTAATACAGGAGTTGATGCATTAGTAATCAAGAGACATGGTGGGTGGAAATCAGCTACAATTGCAGTAAGTTATGTTGCTGACAGTTTAAGTAACAAAATTGAAATAGCCAACAGGATTCTTTCGGTTTTATTTATTAATATTTCGGTCTCTCATAGAAATATAATATCTGAATAGCACTAGAGTTTGCGATGGAAAAAAATTATTGTATTCTCCTTTTCCACTTACTTGTCGTAATGCACATTGTATGTAAATAGCTCACTGACGTCCCATAGAAAAACTGTAACATATTATCTAATAAAAGGTAGCGTTGTTTCTACCTATTTTCGAATAAACATTTTATTTCGCGTTTTACGAGCCGCATAAATAAAGATAAATACGAGGTTGCATTACGGAATATCGAGTTTGGGGAAAAGTTTACGGTTTACTGCCCGTTTTTATGGTCCACCAGATTAAATTCCGTCTTATTGTTTTTTCATTGTTGACTTTTCCGGTATAATGACGGTAGCGGTAAAGCGCTCAGATTTTACGGATTTTATTTGGAATCTGTAACCGAGTTACAAAAACTGAATGTAAATAGCTTTTAACGAAAAAATATTCACTCTTGTTGATTTTTTTTTCGTAACATTGCCAAAAATTACTCCTGGATTATAAAACACACTCTCATGACTGGTTAATTTTTAATTGCTCAAAGGAAAACATTTTAGATTCATATACGTTGAAACTCTAGCAGGCGTATTAAAAAAATTATTAACCATAATATTAAAAATTATATGTTTCTTAATATTCAATGTGATTACCAAGCAACTACTTATTAGATTACTTAACCTAACTGTTTGTTGCACTTTCGAACAAATAATAACATTCAATATGTTGCGTAATATAAATTAAATATACAGGGTGTCGCCCTTAAATGTGATACAAGCCTCTAGCTTCTTTTTTTTGACCGATTTCAAATTTTTTTTAGAATGTAGAGTAAAAAAACTATCTAACTGGTATTAGCGATTTTTTCCCAAAAAACATTACGTTTTCTAATTCAGTATCCCTTAAAATATCTTATCACCAAGTTTCTTCAAATTTGATACATCTTCAGCCGAGCACTAGTTGGGCCTGTAGGGCATTAATAAAAAACAGCAGTATCACAGTTAGATAGATTTTTTTGCCCCACATTCCAAAATTAAAAATTTTGAAATCGGCCAAAAAATAAAGAAGTTACAGGTTTGTATCACATTTAAGCGCGACACCCTGTATATACAGAGTCTGTAAACCATTACAGTACATGTAACTGCCCAACGTAGGCAACCAACATTGCATGATACTGTCAAAAATCCCTATATCTTAACGTCACCAATTTTAATTATTCGTTTACAGTGAACAATGACAAACCGTTACACTACGCTCGAGATAACGCCATCGCTGTTAGGTTGGATAAAATCTCTTACATCAATCACCAGCCGGTGAAACAGAATGTTCTATTGTAATGTAATCTTGATCGTATTGTTTTACTAATTTTTAAATTTACCGATATGTAGTCGAAGGAAGTAAATTTAATGATTCAAACAAAATGACTGGACAGGTGGCTTGCAATCATTTATGACGGCTTTAGACATAGATATCTATAATTAAATACATAACCTCACAATAGATCTTAAAATGAAAAATAAGCACAATTCTCTTCAGACTGAAATACTAATTAAAGAAAACATAAATTTAAAATTAAAATGGTAGAGTTCAATATACAGGGTGTTTTGTTAAAGGACTGGGTCAGACTCCGGTAACTTTTTTATTAATTGATTTTAACGACTTTTTTGTTGGATAAATATCGTGGTTTCATGTTCCATTTTGTATTATACTTGTAATTCCGAACTATGGCCAACTGCGACTATTTTTTTAATTAGAAAAATAGTAGGTAATAACGATTTTTTAATAAAAAAAAAATACTTCAATAAACACAGATATATAAATATTTGTGTACTAATATAGAATGTACTAATTCAGAACAGGTTTATAGATAATATATTTTAAAAAAACAAAAACATGCACAAATTTTTTATGTTTCTAACAAAACTGCTGTTTTTCTAAAATGCGTCAATGTCATTTGAGCAGTGATACAGCAGAGTGACTAAGTCAGAGTTACAACTGAAGAAAATTTGTAAGTCAACACAAAAAATTATAAGATATTAAGTTACATTTAAAAAATATGTAAAAAATTAAATGCAAAGAGTAGAAAAGTTCAAATGAATCTTCATCGGATTGACCATATTTATTATTGATTTGGTCTATATATTTGAAAGATATAAACAAAACAGATTTTTTTTACGAAAGGATTGACACCCTTTTTTCTATTTTTTTGGAATACTTTTTACGTTTAAAGTTTTTACTTTTTTTAACACTTTGTATGTGTTTTAGATACCTAAAAACTTTTTAACTGATAACTAGCTACTGACCATATGCCCTGACTAGCATTGAATTTCTGGTAAATAAGACGAACATGTTTTGAGTGAAATATACCATAGACATATATGCTTTATAGATTATGTCTTACTTAAAGACTTGTTCTTAATTATTTGAAACCGCTTTATATCGACGATACAAAAACTGATTGATATTTCAGGTCCTTATAAGAAGTACTAAAGAAAACTGTATTAACATTACTCTATTTTTACATACCAAAATGATCCCATCGTTTTGATCTATCGTTAAAATCAGCCAATAAATAAAAAATTGCATGTGACAACAATCCTTAAATAGGACACCCTGTACATCGTGGCGATCGTTAAGTTATAATTTAAAAACAAAGCATGTGACAAAGGTATTACTGTTATCATCGAATGTCAAACTTAAAAAATTACCCTATATCAAGAAATCTACTTTAAGCAAAAGCGTTTTATCAATTAAAATACTTTCAGTGCGCATCAGAAAAACGATGGATTCTCACGAAACGAAGCTTGACGCCGAATAATAGCTCCCCTCAAGTCTATGAAAATGAAAACCATTCCGGACTAAATGGAAAAAATGCTCATAACTGACGCAGTTCATATTTTACAAACTTATTTACAGCACAATCTGTTTCTCATGTCTGATAAATCATTCTTGACAGCTAGAAAGACAGAGCCAGTCGAGCGTAATGTCTTATCCAGACACAAACCTGATGCCCTCAGCTTACAGCATGTCAGTATGATAATTTAGATTTTGTAATCAATATATTGTAAAATACTTCAGGAATTTCGAGATAATAACGCTGTTTATCGGGTTTTTATTAACTTTTCGCAGTTTTGCTGTCGGGCAAGGTTCACCTGCAATTATATAAAGGTCAGAAAATATTGTTAGTGATGTGTATAATTACCCCATTTAAGAGAACTTATTAAATAAAAAGAAATTGTGAGGTAATATTTTTTGGCAAACGTATACAGTGTGTTTCGATAATTAAAATCGTTCAACCTGCAAAATGGTGCTTGAAAATTAAAATAATCAAAATTGTTAAACCATGCATTCTTCTGATTCATTCGAAATGAACGTAGTTATCATGAACCAAACAAAACATCTCATCACTCGTATATAAATGAATTATGTATGTATTATTTATTTATGCAAATACAATATGTATTTACCAATATGCCCGTAGAAATGTAAAAATGCACCATTTTCCTCCTCATTGCTACCCTAGTAAGTGTGGGATTCCGTGATCACTTCTGTTCGACGCAGAAAGATCCAACCCGCACAACGACACCGATCGAACCACGCATGCGCCCAGCGGTTGCTACTTACAAACATATATTTTCATAACATTTAGCGTTGCACTGCTAATTCCTTAAACATTTCCAATCAGTCACATTTGGAAGGCTGCAATGTAATGAGAGTTGTGTGCACAAAGGCAAAGGTCTTCTAATTAATTCGTGTATTTTTATTGCACATCAAATTGTACAACGCTGCACCTGAAACCTGAACGTTGTTCGTAACTGAAGGGGGGTGGGGGCTAAAAGGAAAACAAGAAATCGCCTTATTTTCATTCTGTTAGATTTCTCTGATTGCATAAATAATTATTTTTCTATTAACCTAGCCTAACCCTATCTAAATTAACTACTAATCTACTAGCAATATATTTAAATATGTCAAATCAAACTTTGCAATACAAACATATCAATATACGCTGCAGGAAAGTGAATATACTCCAAGCTGACGCAAAATTGTTTGAGAGTACCTACCTAGTACCTGCTTAGTACACGAACAAGTGTTTGAAACATTGAGTTAATTATCGTATATAATTCATGCCTCTAAAAATATATCTCAAAATCTCTAATTCAAAAGAAATTTTGAAGGTCGAACATTTCCAACAGACTTTTGAAAATACATAGTACACCTAGTGCGAAATAGTGTGCCTACACGCATGTGGTGACGTCACTAGAGAGAAAAGTTAACGAAACCATTGCATATACTGGCATGAAAAAGCAACTTTCTGTCATTTCTCTAATAATCCACAGCTGTTGTAGCCTAAACATATTCATATCATTAATTTTATTATGCAAAAC